CCAGCCAGCAGCGCTGGCTGGGGGGATTCTGGGAGTTGAAGTCCCCCCATCTTCAAGCTTCCAAGGTTGAGAAACACTGTGTTAATCTCTGCTCTTGTGGGTATTTTATTTCTGGCCAGGAAGTGCAGTGATCTTTTAGCTTTTGGATTGTCTCTTTTGAATGGTGTGTAAATGTGGTCCATCTCTATGTGCCTGTTGATGGCTGTTTTGCCTGAGTGCTGCTGGCTGGGGGATTCTGGGAGTTGAAGTCCACCCATCTTCAAGCTTCCAAGGTTGAGAAACACTGTGTTAATCTCTGCTCTTGTGGGTATTTTTATTTCTGGCCAGGAAGTGCAGTGATCTTTTAGCTTTTGGATTGTCTCTTTTGAATGGTGTGTAAATGTGGTCCATCTCTATGTGCCTGTTGATGGCTGTTTTGCCTGAGTGCTGCTGGCTGGGGGATTCTGGGAGTTGAAGTCCACCCATCTTCAAGCTTCCAAGGTTGAGAAACACTGTGTTAATCTCTGCTCTTGTGGGTATTTTATTTCTGGCCAGGAAGTGCAGTGATCTTTTAGCTTTTGGATTGTCTCTTTTGAATGGTGTGTAAATGTGGTCCATCTCTATGTGCCTGTTGATGGCTGTTTTGCCTGAGTGCTGCTGGCTGGGGGATTCTGGGAGTTGAAGTCCACCCATCTTCAAGCTACCAAGGTTGAGAAACACTGTGTTAATCTCTGCTCTTGTGGGTATTTTATTTCTGGCCAGGAAGTGCAGTGATCTTTTAGCTTTTGGATTGTCTCTTTCGAATGGTGTGTAAATGTGGTCCATCTCTATGTGCCAGTTGATGGCCGTTTTGTCTGAGTGCTGCTGGCTGGGGGATTCTGGGAGTTGAAGTCCACCCATCTTCAAGCTTCCAAGGTTGAGAAACACTGGCTTAGACAGTCCCTGAGGTCACTTCCTGATATGTGTTCTCAACCTCAGCAATATTAAGCTGGGTGGACTTCAACTCCCAGAATGTCTAAGCCAGCATGTCTGGCTGGGGAATTCTGGGAGTTGCAGTCCACCCAGCTTAATGTTGCTACGGAGGGATGGATGGATGGGGAATTCTGGGAGTTGAAGTCCACCTGTCTTAACACTGCTGAGGATGGCTGGCTGGGGAATTCTGGAAGTTGGTCCATCCAGATGAACGTTGCTGAAGATAGCTGTGCGAGGAATTCTGGGAGTTGAAGTCTTACCAGTTTTAACATCGCTGAGGATGGCTGGCTGGGAATTCTGGGAGCTGAAGTCCATCCAGCTTAACATTGCTACGGTTGACAAACTCTGGCTTGTTGTGCGATTGTGCATGCCGGAGGAACAAGGTTGCCATTTTTTTATCGTTGCAACGAACAATTTGGTACTTTTGCACAAGGCTGTCTTTATTAGACACGAGATAGCCATCGTTGTGATAGTGGGACACCTCCGTGGTTAGGAACTCTTCCAAACTACTGACTTGGCCCCTTCAACACAACCACAACCACAGCCACAACTCAATCAATGAGCGCCCACAGATGGGTTAGGTTCACCCCAGGAAGGAACAATCATTTACTGATACGGGCAGAACTGAGAAATGTTGTCTTTGTAACAGTCTGGGATTCTGGCATTGCTGTGTTCATCACTGTTAGGAATATGACTATTACCTAACTGGTTGGGTTGGCAATATATAAACCATCAATGTATGTTTGCAGTGAAAATGTATTGTATTCTATAGCTTTAAGACTGCTGTATTGCATCATACTGTGTCCTGATTGGTTAGCTCTGTTGCCAATGTCCTTAAGAGGGAGCTAGAAACATGGCTTGTTCTCTGATATCTCTGTCTGGTACTGTTAGGAAATCCAGAAGAACTCTTTACTATGAATGACTAAGACAACTGGTAAGAAGACTTTGTTAATGGATTATCCCTGGACTGTCGTTTTGGCTACCGCCTGATTTATATGTGTATGACCTGGATTGTTTATTGGACTGTGCTTTACTTTTTCCTGAAAGTAAACTATAACACAATTCAGTGTAACTGTGTGTGGTGACTGTGCTTATTCATAGCTACTCTCAACCACTTTCACACCCTTGCTACTCAGGGGTTACTCTGTAAATTCCTTAACAATCACAGCTGACCACTTTTTTTTTTTTACCAAACCTGGTTTGTAGCAATTCATTTAAGACTGAAACCATGATGCACAGGTAGTCCTCGATTTACAACAATTCATTTAGGGACCGTTCAAAGTTACAATTGCACTGAAAAAAGGGACTTACAGTATGTTACGACTGTTTTCACACTCAATGACCGTGACAGCATCCCCATGGTCATGTGATCAAAATTTGATGCTTGGCAACTGATTCATACTAGTGACAGTCGCGGTGTCCCGACCTTCTGACCAACAAAGTCAAGGGGGAAGCCCGATTCACTTAACAACCAGGTTCCTAACTTATCAATTGCAGGGATTCACTTAACGACGGTGGCAAGGAAAATGGGGCAAAGCTCACTTAATAAATGTCTCGCTTAACAACAGAAATTGTGGATTTCATTGTGGTTGTAAGCTGAGGACTGCCTGGGTTTTTTTGGGGTTTTTTTTTGTTATATTGTTACTCAGCTTCGGATTAGAAGTTAAATACCGATAGTCCTCAACATACGGCCACAATGGAGCCCCACATTTCCATTGCTAAGCGAGATATTTGCCAAGCGACCGTTGCCCCTGTTTTTATGACCTGTTGTTGTGGCCCGTTAGTAGCCTGTGCGGATTGTAGCTGATTCCGACAGTGAGGAGGCTGGTTTGGTGCTGTGCCAGCAGCCTGTGCAGCTGGCACTCGAGTCGGACAGTGAGGAGGCTGGAGAAGATGTGGTGCCAGAGGCGGGGATTGAGCCAGGGCCTTCAGAACCTCCAGAAGCTTCCATGGGTGAAGAGGAAGAAGAGGAGGAGCCTCTTCTCAGTGCACGGGCGCGCAGAGCTGCCAAAAGGCAGGAGTGGCTCCTCAGGAGGAGGTCTCCTCGAGAGTAAGGCTTGGGGCTAATTGGCCACTCCCTTAGCCTATTTGGTGCGTTGCCAAAATCTGTACATTGAGCGTAGTAACTCAATTGTGTAACTCACTCACACACCAGGCTAAGAACACCCCCCCACCCACCCAGCATACCTGGACAACAAGACCCCAACCCTTAAAACAAGACCCCAGCCATACAAAATTCTGGCCTTAGATCTTTTATGGCCTCTCAGTTCTGGCTTCTCCTCCCCGGACCCACAATAGGAGTTAACAGGAATCTACAAGGAGCTTGTGTTCTGTTTATCTCCATCCCAGGAAAGTTGCTCTTTTGTTCCGACAATTTGCATTTCAGCTCCTGTGGCTTTAAGTCTTGTTTTTTTTTTTTAAAAAAAAGAAAAAAATCAGTGCATCTTTGTTTTTTTGTTTTTAGCTATCTGTCACCTTTTGGTAATTTCGATCTTCTATTTGCAGCTGTTTGCTTGAGATTGTTGTCTCTATCTGTCTATCTATCTGTCTCCCTCTCTCTGTGTCTCTCTCTCTTCTCTCTGTCTCTCTCTCCCTCTCTCTGTGTCTGTCACTCCATCTGTCTCTCTTTGTCTCTCTCTCTCTCTCTCTGTCTCTTCTCTCTCCTTCTCTCTGTCTCTCTCTCTTCTGCCTGTCTGTCTCTTTCTTCCTCTCTCTTCTCTCTCTCCCTCTGTGTCTGTCGCTCCCTCTCTGTCTCTCTGTGTGTCTCTCTCTCTTCTATGTCTCTTTCCTCTCTTTCTCTCTCCCTCTCTCTGTGTCTCTCTCTTCTCTCTCTCTCCTTCTCTGTCTCTCTCTGTCTCTCTTTCTCTCTCTTCTCTCTCCTTCTCTGTCTCTGTCTCTGTCTCTCTCTCTCTTCTGCCTGTCTGTCTCTTTCTTCCACTCTCTTCTCTCTCTCCCTCTCTCTGTCTGTCGCTCCCTCTCTGTTTCTCTGTGTGTCTCTCTTCTGTGTCTCTTTCTCTCCTCTCTTTCTCTTTCTTTCTTCCTCTCTTCTCTCTCTCTCTCTCTCTCTCTCTGTCTGTCGCTCCCTCTCTGTCTCTGTGTGTTTCTCTCTTCTATGTCTCTCTCTTTCTCTCCTCTCTTTCTCTCTCTCCCTCTCTGTCTCTCTCTTTCTCTCTTTCTTTCTTCCTCTCTCTTCTCTCTCTCCCTCTGTGTCTGTCGCTCCTTCTCTGTCTCTCTGTGTGTCTCTCTCTCTTCTATGTCTCTTTCCTCTCTTTCTCTCTCCCTCTCTCTGTGTCTCTCTCTCTTCTCTCTCTCTCCTTCTCTGTCTCTCTCTGTCTCTCTTTCTCTCTCTTCTCTCTCCTTCTCTGTCTCTGTCTCTCTCTCTCTTCTGCCTGTCTGTCTCTTTCTTCCACTCTCTTCTCTCTCTCCCTCTCTCTGTCTGTCGCTCCCTCTCTGTTTCTCTGTGTGTCTCTCTTCTGTGTCTCTTTCTCTCCTCTCTTTCTCTTTCTTTCTTCCTCTCTCTTCTCTCTCTCTCTCTCTCTCTGTCTGTCGCTCCCTCTCTGTCTCTGTGTGTTTCTCTCTCTTCTATGTCTCTCTCTTTCTCTCCTCTCTTTCTCTCTCTCCCTCTCTGTCTCTCTCTTTCTCTCTTTCTTTCTTCCTCTCTCTTCTCTCTCTCCCTCTGTGTCTGTCGCTCCCTCTCTGTCTCTGTGTGTGTGTGTCTCTTCTCTCTCTCTTTCTTCCTCTCTTCTCTCTCTCCCTCTTTCCTTGTCTTTCTCTTTCTCTCTTCTCTCTCTTTCTCTCTTTCTCCCTCCCTCTTCTCTCACTCCCTCTCTCTGTGTCTCTGTCTCTCTCTGTGTCTCTCTCTTCTGTCTCTCTCTCTCTCTTTCTCTTCCCTCTCTCTCTTCACGCTGCCTCCCTTTCTCTATGTCTCTTCCTCTCTCTCTCTCTGTCTCTCTCTGATAAGCTAGTTGCATGCAGGGCTGAGAAAACATCCTGTCGTAAATATTTAGCTTATCAGTCTCTCTGTGGTAGGTAAAAGCAAGGATCTTGACCAGCAGTATGGGCGAAAATTTGAAAGCCATAAAAGAACAAGGAATTCTCTTTCGGTTTTAACCCACAATTTCCTGAACAATTAATCAGTGGAACAACTTGCCTCCAGAACTTGTGGATGCTCCATCCCTGGAGGCTTTTAAGAAGAGATTGGACAGCCATTTATATGAAATGGTATAAGGTTTCCTACCTGAGCAGGGGGTTGGACTAGAAGACCTCCAAGGTCCCTTCCAACTCTGTCATTCTGTTATTTCTTGGGGTTTGTTTGTTTTTTTTGACTCCCTTCTGTGTTTTCCTGCAGGAGAGAATCCCAGTGACAAGTGGCACCCGAGTCCAGTTTCGCCATGAAAAAAGTCAAATTTCTCTCGGCCGAGATCCACGATTTTACTTCGGAGGAGGCTCAGCAGCTGCTGCACAACAAATTTGTAGTTGTGATAGGGGACTCCAGTAAGTATCGCTAGGAATTGTGGGCCGAAATTGAGATCGCCAAAGCTTGGATACCCAGGTAATCCTCAACTTACAACCATTCGTTTAGTGATGAAGTTTGAAGTTACAAGGGCACTGGAAAAAGGGACTTACGACCGTTTTTCACACTTGCAACCATTGCCGCATCCCCCGTGGTCACGTGATCGAAACTCAGACGCGAACCCCTGCAGTTGTTAGATTAGTCACACGCTTGTTAAGTGAATTCGGCTTCCCCCATTAACAAGGTCACAAAAGGAGATCACATGACCTCGGGACGTTGCGACCATCATAAATACGAGTCAGCTGGCGAGGATCTGAATTTTGTATCACATGATCCTGGGGATGCTGCGACGGTCGTAAGTGTGAAACATGGTTGTAAATCCAGGGGTGAAATGCTACCGGTTCGCATGAACCGGTAATAAAAAAAATGCTATAGGTTCGTCCGAACTGGTATTTCTGACGATCAGCTTTGCCCCGCGATTTATATTCTCTAGAAAGCAGGAAATCCAGCTTTCTAGCGAATATAAATCGCGTGACATAGCTGTTCCCTCCCCCTCGCTCTTCTACTTACCTTCTTAAGCCTCCTTTTTCCACACGGAGTGCGTGTTTGGCACACACTGCACATGCACGCACAGGGAACCAGTGGCAAACCTCAGGAGGATTTCACCACTATGTAAGTCTGCTTTTTTTCAGTGCCGTTGTAACTTCGGTCACTAAACAAACTGTTGTAAGTCGAGGACTACGCAAATCTACACTCAGGAAAAGTGGGAGGGTGGGTTTCTCGTTTACTCCTTAGGAAAAGATAAGTGTCCGTAAATTGATTTGGAAAAATCAGAGAGAGATACCGAATTTTTCAGAGTATAAGACGCACCTACCTTTGTTGGTGAGGAAAAGAAGAAAAAGAAATCTGCCTCTGCCTCTGAGCAATTTTGCCTTGTTGCAGCAAACAGCCTGCTTTACTTTCAGTTTCGTTTTCAGCACAGCATTGATTAGCACAAGGGGAAAAAAAAAAATCTGCTCCAGCAATTTACCTCTTTGCAGCAAGCAGCAGAGCCCTGCGCAAAACAGCTGAGAGCAAATCAGCTGAGAGTCGGGAGGCCGATCCGATCAACTTGTGCTAATTAGGCTGTGCTGAAGCTGAAAGGAGCTGTTTTTTCCTTGCTGTTTGCTTGCAAGGAGGTAAACTGCTGGGAGGCAGAGGCCAAAGGGTGGGGGCCAGTGGGTGGGCGGGGCTACATCCAGTGTATAAGACGCACCTAAATTTTCACCCTCTTTTAGGGGGGGGGAAAGGTGCGTCTTATACTCCGAAAAATACAGTACTTCCTTTTTCCTGGCTCCTTGGATGTTTTTTTTTTGTTGAAAGGGGGCCAGGCGTAGAGATAGGTCACGCTAACCTGGCCTTTGGCATGCCGACATCAGGACCCACGTTAGCGCCGGCTGCATTTTGGCAAGGCGAGGCCAGGCTGCGAGGAATTTGTGCAAAAAAATAAAGCAGAATTGCCCCCTCCTCCTTAAGTTAGCCAGGCTGCTTCCTTCGCTTTTTGCTTGGCGCGGAACAAAAACATCGACAGCTGGGAGCTGAGAACGGGCGGCTGAGCGACCTTGAATCCTTCCCAAATTCAGCCGCAGCCCCAAAAAATAAAATAAGATAAAATTAAAAAAAATAAATAACAAGGTACTGTCTCTTATCGACTGAAGTAAAGTGAAGAAATAAAATAAAAGTACTGTGAAGTGAAACAAGTGAAGCGAAATGAAGAAATGAAATGAAATGAAATAATTAAAGTAAAATAAACAGGTACTGTCTCTAAACAGTACCTGTTTGTAGTTTGGTGTTTGTAGTTTTTAATATAAGGGCCAAATTTTAATATATTTTAAACTGTTTTTTTTAAATTTTATGGGTAGATGTTGTTTTAATATGGCTGTACACCGCCCTGAGTCTTTCAGGAGAAAGGCGGCATAAAAATTTAAATAAATAAATAAATAAATAAATAAATAAATAAATAAATAAATAAATAAATAAATAAATAAATAAATAAATAATAAACAAACAAGTAAAGTGAAATGAACAAATGAGATCAAATAAAATAAAATGAAAAGGTTCTGTCTCTAATCAAGCAAAGGGGTGAAGAAATAAAATGAATAAAACAACAAAACAAAATAAAAAGTTACTCTCTAAACAGGGAAGGTGAAGCAAAGTGAAGAAATAATGAAATGAAATAAATAAAATAAAATAAAATAAAATACGAGTCATTTTCCAAGCAGTTGAATTTTGATCAAGCGACTGTGAGTGATGCTGCAACGGTCGTAAGTGTGAAAAACAGTCATAAGTCGTTTTTTCCAGGGTCGTCGTTATTTCAAACGGTCACTAAACGAACGGTTGTAAGTTGAGGGATACCTCTCCAGAATGCCTTCTCTAAGCACACCGCAATTAGTTTCTTTCTTTCTTTTCTTTTTTTTTGGAAAATCAACCACCTTAAGCAGAATAATTCGGGGTGCGTGTGTTGATTTTTCGGTATCCTCGGGAGGAGAAATGGCCAGTTGGGGACATTTTCCAGACGATGACCATGTTGTGGTCCTCCGGCGGCCTGTGGAGCTGGCAGCAGAGTTGGACAGTGAGGAGGCTGGGGAGGAACATGGGCCAGTCCTGGAGTCTGGGGAACGCTCGGACGAGGGCTCTGTGTCGGAGGCAGAGAAAGGGCCATCTGTTGTGGCTCCGTTACCTGAGCCTGTGTCATCGGCAGGAGAGGACTCCGAGAGTGAAAGAGAGGAGTTGGCAAGGCCTCCCTCTCCAGGACCCTCCTCTCTGGCAATGCCTTTGGTGTCCGCCGAAAGTCAAGAGATAGGCCCGGGGCCAAGCACGTCCACGCAGCCACAGGTGGACAGTAATGAGGGAGATGAGTCTTGGCTGGATCCTCGGCAGCGTCACAGAGATAAGCGCGCGCAACAGAAGACCATCTGGGAGGTATGTGCTGCCTCTGGAGCCTCCAGAGTCGGACCTCAGCGAGGCAGAGGAACAGGGGAGCCTGTTCCCAGTGCGCGCATGCACAGAGCTGCCAGACGGCAACAACAGCTAAAACAAAAGGGACGACTCAGGAGCAAGGCTTGGAGATGATTGGCCCTTCCCATAAGGCTTAAAAGAGGAGCAAAGGCACGTGGGCCTTTGCAGGAAGCAACGTTGTTAATTCTGTGCAGTTTAAAGCCTGAAGCTCTGTTTGATTCTGGACTCCGTGTGGCTTTGCCAATTAGGTTTTTGGGCAGCGTGTCAAGGGATATAAAGATGGGTGATTATTCCGAAGGATTTCTCCCGAAGGACTTTTTGCAACTAATTGGAACTCATGAATGAACAGAATTCCCAGCTGTTGTAATAAAAGAGGTTTTGGGGACGACTCCTGTGTTTCACTGACTCGGGAAGCCGAGGTCAGAACAGACCACTTGACCAGATGACCAACGGAAGGGGGGGGGGGGAAAGGTGCCTGAATCCAGCTTGCCTTCAAGCAGCGTTTTTTTCAAACATGGCTCCTTTAAGAGGGGTGGAGTTTAACACCCAGAATTCCCCAGCCAGCCTTCTGGGCCCTGAAGTCCACCCTTCTTAAAGCAGTCAAGTTTAGAGGGGGGCGGGGGGAAGACTGCCTTAAAGAATATCCAGATCTACCCTTTTTTTTTTTTTTGCATCTTGGTTTATGTTTGTTTGTTTCTTTCTTTTTCCCACATTACAGACTATCGTGCAATATATAAAGATTTGGTCTACTTTCTGCAGAACGATGAGTTGGTCCCTATCGAAGAACTGAGGAAGAAGGTACTGTCTCTAATCAAGGAGAACGTTTGCGGCTCCGGGTTAGAAAGGAGGGGTCCTTGAGGCTCCCCGAGCTTGGGGGTTTCCTTTCAGGTGTTTTACGACCCAACTAGGGAACATCATCAGTGCTAGAAGGGAGTGGGGTTTGCAGAGAAGAGAGGAGGGAGGAGGACTGTGGAGTCCGTGGTTCTGAGTTCCATTGTTTTCTTCCGTACGTTTCATTACCCAACTAGGTCTTATCACCAGGGTTACAAGGAGGTGGGGTAACACTGATGATGTTCCCTAGTTGGGTCATGGAACGTCTGCAAGAAAACCACCAAGCTCAGAGAGCACCAAGGACCCCACAGTTCTCCTCCTCCTCCTCTTCTCCTCCTCCTCTTCTTCCCCTCCTCCTCCTCTTCTCCACAAACATCATTCCTTTCTAGCACGGATCAGGTTGCCTAGTTGGATAATGAAACATCTGAAGAAATAACAACCAAACTCAGAGCATCAAAGAAGAGTTCTTCTTCTCCTCCTCTTCTCCTCTCCCTCCTCTTCTCCTCCTCCTCCTCCTTTTCTTCTTCTCCTTCCTTCCTCCTCCTCTACTCCTCCTTCTCCTTCTTCTTCTCCTCCTCCTCCTCCTCTTCTTCTTCTCCTTCCTTCCTCCTCCTCGTCCTCCTCTTCTCTTCCTCCTCTTCTCCTCCTCCTCCTCCTCCTCTTCTTCTTCTCCTTCCTTCCTCCTCCTCTACTCCTCCTCCACCTCTTCTTCTTCTCCTTCCTCCTCCTCCTCTCCTCCTCCTCCTCCTCTTCTTCTCCTTCCTTCTTCCTCCTCGTCCTCCTCCTCTTCTCCTCCTCCTCTTCTCCTCCTTTCTTCCTCCTCCTCCTCTTCTTCTTCTCCTTCCTCCTCCTCCTCTCCTTCTCCTTCTTCCTCCTCCTCCTCCTCCTCCTCCTCGTCCTCCTCCTCTTCTTCTCCTCCTCCTCTCCTCCTTTCTTCCTCCTCCTCCTCTTCTTCTTCTCCTTCCTCCTCCTCCTCTCCTCCTCCTCCTCTTCTTCTCCTTCTTCCTCCTCCTCCTCTTCCTCCTCGTCCTCCTCCTCTTCTTCTCCTCCTCCTCTTCTTCTTCTCCTTCCTTCCTCCTCTTCGTCCTCCTCCTCTCCTCCTCCTTTCCTCCTCCTCCTCTTCTTCTTCTCGTTCCTCCTCCTCCTCTCCTCCTCCTCCTCTTCTTCTCCTTCCTCCTCCTCCTCCTCCTCCTCCTCCTCTTCTTCTTCTCCTTCCTTCCTCCTCCTCTACTCCTCCTCCACCTCTTCTTCTCCTTCCTTCCTCCTCCTCCTCCTCCTCTTCTTCTTCTCCTCCTTCCTTCCTCCTCCTCTACTCCTCCTCCACCTCTTCTTCTTCTCCTCCACCTCCTCCTTTTTCCTTCCTCCTCCTCCCTTCTAACCCTCTTGATGTCCCCTAGTTGGGTAGCGAAACATCTGCCAAAAAACCCCCAGAAAGCTCAGAGGGCCCCAGAGTTCCACGCCGAGCAACCAATATCCTTTTCTCTGGGCGCACTGGGTGTCGGTTAAATCCTAAAGGTTGGCTTTGTGGATCCTCCTTCCCCAGTAGGATGGATCTACTGGCCCTTCGGACTTTCGTGGGTCTCTATTTGTATGTACGGAGACTTTCTCCGCCTATCAGGGCTTTTGAACGGTGCCCTCTTCCTTCGCAGCATGAGCCGACTTTCGCCAAGGACTGCCTGGTGGAATTGAACGAGTCTTCCGGAAACGATTACCGTTTGGTGCGCCAGTACCGTACCCGACATCACCTCGTGCGCTTCTACTTCATCACCCGGGCTTATTCGTCCTACGTGGACAGCATCATGAACGACTTCCGGGCGGCTCTGAAGGCAGATCTGGTGCCCGATGTTGTCATCGTGCATTCTTGCCTCTGGGATCTCAACAGGTAAATCGGACCAGACCTTTCAGCCTGACCACATGCCCTCGACGTACCACTGAGGCACAAGGGACTGCCTCTAATCGAGGAGAATATTTGTGGCTCGGGGGTTGAAAGGAGGGGTCTTCGGTGATCCCCAAGCTTGGAGGAGGGGGGAATGGGCTTTCCTTTCAGACGTTTCACGACCCAACTAGGCAACTTCGTCAGTGCTAGAAGGGAGTGGGGTTTGCAGAGGGGAGGGTGGTTGTGGCCTCTCGGCCGCCGGCCCCTCCAGCAGCCGAATCAGAGGAGGAGGAGGAGGCATGGGAGTGAGGGTCAGCATCAAGGCAACCTGAGAGCTCGGAGGGGGAAGAGGTAATGGAGCTGGCAGAGAGAGAGAAGAGAGAGAAAGAGAGAGAGAGAGAGAGAGAGAGAGAGAGAGAGAGAGAGAGAGAGAGAGAGAGAGAGAAAGAGAGAGAGAGAAAGAGAGAGAGAGAAAGAGAGAGGGAGAGAGAGAGGGAGAGAAAGAGAGAGGGAGAGAGAGAGACGGAGATGGAGCCTGGGCCATCCGTCAGCCCTCAGATGGAGAGTCAACTGCCCCCAGGTCTGGAGGTGGCTGATGAGGAAGAAGAGGAACAGCTGGGTCCAGTACCTGATGCACATAAGGCAAGAGGAGAGGAGAGCAGTGGAAATCTATGGACAGAAGAGCCACCGCTGCTAGCGAAGCCCCTCCCTAGCTCTGGGGATAAAAGGCAGGGGGCAGAGATGAATAGATGGGACAGATAACTATTCATCTCCTGACTGGATAGACGTGTTATCCTGAGAGAGAAAGTTTTTGCCGGGACTGCCGGCGCTCTTAATCAAGGAATCGTTTGAGTTCACTTCAGAGGGTTTGGGGAGTTTGGGTCAGAACAGAGGAGGAGAGCTGTGGGGTCCTTGGTTCCGAGTTCCATTGTTTCCTTGCGTCCGTTTCATTACCCAACTTGGTCTCATCATCAGTGCCAGAAGGAGGTGGGATAACACTGACGATGTGACCTAGTTGGATAATGAAACATCTGAACCTCCTATTGCTTCAGCCCGACCACACGGTCCTCGGCGTACGACCGCAACGGAGTCCGGCATTTATGATGACGCTAAACGAGAAAATTTGTCCCGGGCGTTTTGTTTCATTTGACGACTTTTCTCGCCTCGTTTGCTGAGCGAATCGTGGCAGTTGTTAAATGAGTCACACGGTCGTTAAACGACTCTGGCTTCCCCGTGGACTTGGCTTGTCAGACGGTCACCAAAGGGGATCACGTCACTATCTGGGACACTGCAAACTGTCATAAGTACCTTGCCAAGCATTAAAATTTTGATCACGTGGTCAGAGGGATGTTGCGACGGTTGTAAGTCCCTTTTCGAAGTGCCGTTGTGAACTTCCAACGGTCACTAAATGAACTATTGTGAAGTCTAAGGACCCTCGTGTTCCTTCTGGTGAGTTTGTCTCGGTTCTCCCTTCCACGCAGGTATCACGATAAGTTTCCCACGGAGCCGCCACTCCCGAAAGCGATCAGAGAATACCGCCAGAACATGGAGAAGCTCTTCCGAGCCTTGAACGAAGTTCTTCCTTCGCGCACTCTCGTAATTTGGAATACGGCCATGTCCATCACCAAAGACGCCCGTGGATACGTCATCGAGGTGAGAGGACGGGTGGGGCTTCCTTGGGGGTGATTGAGGACCACCTGGCTCCCTTCAGAATCCAAGGGACATCTTCTGCAACGATTATCTGGCGCTCCGGATATTATGAGTCTTCACGCAAAGAAGCAAGGAGAGAAGCAACCTAGGGCGTCCGGCTTGGGTGGGTGGGGGCTGGACTAGATGACCTACAAGGTCCCTTCTAACTCTGTTATTTTGTAATTGAAGATATTCCCTTCCTTCCTTCCTTCCTCTTTCATTTTTCATTCCTCCAATCCCTCCCTTCCTTCCTCTTTTTTTCTTCCTCCAATCTCTTCCTCCCTCCCTTCCTCCCTCCCTCCCTCCCTCCCTTTCTTTCATTTTTCCTTCCTCCACTTCCTTCCTTCCTTCCTCTTTCATTTTTCCTTCCTCCAATCTCTTCCTTCCTTCCTTCCTCTTTCATTTTTCCTTCTTCCAATCTCTTCCTTCCTTTCTTCCTTCCTCTTTCATTTTTCCTTCCTCCAATCTCTTCCTTCCTTCCTTCCTCTTACATTTTTCCTTCCTCCAATCTTTTCCTTCCTTTCTTTCTTCCTTCCTTCGTCTTTCATTTTTCCTTCCTCCAATGTCTTCCTTCCTTCCCTCTTTCATTTTTCCTTCCTCCAATACCTCCCTCCCTCCCTTCCTTCATCTTTCATTTTTCCTTCCTCCAATCTCTTCCTTCCTTCCTTTTTCATTTTTCCTTCCCCCAATCTCTTCCTTCCTTCCTTCCTTCCTTCCTTCCTTCCTTCCTTCCTTCCTTCCTTCCTTCCTTCCTTCCTTCCTTCCTTCCTTCCTTCCTTCCTCTTTCATTTTTTCTTCCTCCAATCTCTTCCTTCCTCTTTCATTTTTCCTTCCTCCAATCCCTTTCTTCCTTCCTTCCTCCCTCTTACATTTTTTCTTCCTCCAATCTCTTCCTTCCTTCCTTCCTCTTTCATTTTTCCTTCCTCCAATCCCTTCCTTCCTCTTTCATTTTTCCTTCCTCCAATCTCTTTCTCCTCCTTCCCTCCCTCCTTTCCTTCCTTCCTTCCTTCATTGGAAATCTACATCTAGTCCTTGACTTACGCCCATCATTGAGCCCAACATTTCTGTCGCTAAGCCAGAACAGTTGTCAAGTGAGCCTTTGCCCCATTTTACGACTTTTCTCACCACCGTCGTGAATCATTGCAGTTATTAAGTCAGTAACCCAGCAGTTAAGTGAACCCGGCTTCCCCATTTTGACATTGGGTTATCAGAAGGTCGCAAAAGGGGATCACATGACCCCCCCCCCGGGGTCATAATTACGAGTCCATGGCCAACCGTCTGAATTTCCATCTCGTGACCGTGGGGAGGCCGCAATGGTCGTTAAGCGTGAAAAACGGTCCCGAGTCCCTTGTTTCAGGGCCGTTGTAACCCCGAGCGGTCGCTAAACGGACGGTGGCAGGTCGAGGACTCCCCGTAACGTCCCCCGTTCTTGACTTGAGGTTCGTGGGTGTTTTGGGATCTTCCGCAGCAACCTTGCAAGATGTCAGCCGTGGATATGATAGAAGCCAACTTCTACAGCACCAACCTGGCCCAAGCGTTCTGGTTCGACGTCCTGGACCTCCACTACTACTTCCGGTTCCTGCAGGACCTCCACGCGCCCGACGGCACGCACTGGGACCTCCGGGCCCACCGCTACCTGACCAAGCTCCTGCTCACTCACCTGGCCGAAGCCTGGCAGGTCCAGCTACAGAAGCAGAGGCAGCTGATGGGCAAGTGGGGAAGGGGCTGGGGGAGGGAAAGCAGGGGGGAGGGAGGGGGGGCTTGGAAAGTGGGGGAGGGGCTTCTGGGATTTTCCCCCAGCCCCACCCCACCACCAGGATCCAGAGCTAGGCTTTTAAGGGTGATTGGAGAATAATTGCAGATGGATTTAGGGGGTTGATGGTTAGAAAGGGATAACGATGGAAAGAAGGAAACAGGCGGGGGAAAGAGAAATGCACATGTGACGTACCGGCTGTTAAAAATATCAGGAGCTGCTTCTTTATAACTCTTCCTTTCCTTCCTTCCTTCCTTCTTTCTTTCCACCTTCCTCTTCCCCTTCCTTCCTTCTTTCCTTCCTTCCTTCCTTCCTTCCTTCCTTCCTTCCTTCCTTCCTTCCTTCCTTCCTTCCTTCCTTCCTTCCCCCTTTCCTTCCTTCCTTCTCTTCCATTTATCCTTCTCCTCCTTCCTTCCTCCTTCCGTTTATCTTTTCTCCTTCCTTCCTTTCCTTCCTTCCTTTTATCCTTCTCCTCCTTCTTTCCTCCTCCCTCCCTCCCTCCCTCCCTTCCATTTATCCTTCTTCCTTCCTTCCCTGCTTCCATTTATCCTTCCCCTCCCTCCCTCCCTCCCTTACCCCAATGGACCGCAGGAGTTTGAAACTAGCCCATCCTTCTGCTGCAGAAGGGGCACGATGGCTCAGTGGTTAAAGACGCTGGGCTGGTCAGATGGAAAGGCGACAGCCCGGGTTCGAGACCCGAGCTCTACAAGACGGTGTGAGCTCCCATTCCTTGGCTCAGCTCCTGGCCACCTAACAGTTCGAAAGCAAGCAAATGGGAGTAGATCAATAGGTACCACTTCGGATGGGAAGGGAACAGCGTTCCATGCACTTTGGCATATACAGGTAGTCCTCAACCTACGATCACAATTGAGCCCCAAATTGACGTGGCTGTGAGAAATTTCCTGAGTGAGGTTTGCCCCATTTTACGACTTTCCTTGCCGCATTTCTTCAACGAATCACTCCAGTACTTAAAATCACTCACACGGTTGCTAAGCAAATCTGGTTTCCCCATGGACTTGGCTCATCAGAAGGTCGCCAAAGGGTATCGCCTGACTCCCGGACACCGCGACCGTCATAAATAGGAGTCGGTTGTCAATCATCTGAATATAAATCACAGAGATGCTGCCGCGGTCGTAAGTGTGAAAAACGGGGTTTTTTTTCCCCGCTGCCGTTGTAACTTGGAACGGTCCCTGTCGTAAGTCGAGGACTACCTGTAAGTCATGCTGGGCCCCATGACCACAGAAGCGTCTTCGGACAACGCTGGCTAAGAAAGGGAGATGAACAGCGCCCCCTAGAGGCGGATACGACCGGACAGGGGAGACTTTTAACTTCACCTTCCCTTCTGCTGCCGTCTCTGTATTCCTCCCGTCTTCTTCATTTTCAGACATTCAGAAGTTTCGAAAAACGTCTCCCTGGAGGAACCTGGACCCTGCCCCTCCTCAGCTGATCCCCACCCTGTGGACCAACGGCTCAGCCAGGGACTTCTATTCCAGGAGACCTTCTCACCTCAGTCGTAAAGCTTACAAAAAGAGGCTCAGAGCAAGGTTGAGTCAATGTCACCATTCGCCTGTCCAGCTTGGTGGCCCCTATGATGGGCTTCACCAGGAACACAACCACCCCTGCCCCTCTGCCGCTCTCCCCGATCCCAGGAATTCTCCCACTGGCTTGTACAGGGGACCCATAATTTCATCTGAATGCCCTCAACCCATTCCAGGTTATTACCCTTGTGGCCCAGAACATGGGAGCTACGACAGGTGGCCCGTAGGTTCTTCTGAACAAGAGCATTGCCCTCCACCCGGTCCAAATTTTAATTCTTTCACCCCACCTTGCGTCGGCTGGGAAAGTTGGTCCGTACCTTCATTTGAAGGAGAACAGGGCCTTCCCAGCTACTACGACGGTCATTCCCATGACCCATTTCATGCTGGCTGTGATGCTACACCCATAAGTGGACAGGAGCATCACCCTCAACCCGATGCAGGTTATTCCTGGGTCCCAGATAGTTCTGGTGGCCATAGTAGACCCATAGATGTTTTAGAGCAAGGTGTCCCATTCTATCCCGGTCCTTATGATCCTCCTTTCCAAGATGGCAGGCTCGGCAGCTTCGCTGACCAGGGGCCAAGATTCCACCCCAATAGTCCCCCTCATTTCTCACAAGGCGTGGGTGACGCGAGCACACCCCTGAATATTGTTGAACAGGAGCAGTGTCTCCAGCCCCATCATTATTTCCAGGAGGCCCATGGACCTGATGATGACAGTTGGGTCATGGGTTTGCCCGAGGAGGGCCCGTGGCCCCCGTTTCATCCTAGGAGAGACTTTCCTGTCCCTCAGGATGTTAGGAGTGGCCCTTGGTCCACAGATGGTGATGAAGGAGATCCGGGCTTCTCATTCCGCATAGAAGGTATGTTCCTGGGTTTCCTGCCAATTATTTCAGGGTGGGGATAGTCCGAACCCCAGTTTTGAGCTGGAAGTAGGCTAGAACAGGGGGTCCCCAACCTTGGCAACTTTAAGACTTGTGGACTTCGACCCCCAGAGTTGAAGAGTTCAAACTCTGGCAGTTGAAGTCCACAAGTCTTAAAGTTGCCAAGGTTGGAGTGGAGACCCCTGGGCTAGAAGGAATGTTCTAGAGGAGGAGGAGGAGGAGGAGGAGAGGAGGAGGAAGAAGAGGAAGAAGAAGAGGAGGAGGAGGAGGAGGAGAAGAAGAAGAGGAGGAGGAAGAAGAGGAAGAAGAAGAAGGAGGAGGAGGAGGAGGAGAGGAGGAGGAGAAGGAGAAGAAGAAGAGGAGGAGGAGGAGGAGGAAGAGAAAGAAGAGGAAGAAGAGGAGGAGGAGAGGAAGAGGAAGAGGAGGAGGAGAAGAGGAGGAGGAGGAGGAGGAGGAGGAGAAGACGACGAAGACGAAGACGAAGACGAAGACGAAGACGAAGACGAAGAAGAAGAAGAAGAAGAAGAAGAAGAAGAAGAAGAAGAAGAAGAAGAAGAAGAAGAAGAAGAAGAAGAAGAAGAAGAAGAAGAAGAAGAAGACTATTAGGAGGACTGTGGGGTCCTTGGGGCTCCCTGAGCCTGGATGTTTTCTTGCAGATGTTTCACTACCCAACTAGGTAACATCATCAGTACTAGAAGGAGTGGGGTTTGCAGAGAGGAAGAGGAGGAGGAGAACTTTGGAGGAAGACTAGGAGGACTGTGGGATCCTTGATGCTCTGTGCCTGGTTGTTTTCTTGCAGATGTTTCTTTTTCTTTTTTTAAATTTTTTTATTGATTCTTGCAGACGTTTCATTACCAAACTAGGTAACACCATCAGAGCTTTGGTGTCTTCTACTCGGCACCTTTTCCTAATGTCCCTTCTTGCTTTCTGACAGAAAATCATCCCAATTGCTTCTCTGGGCCGGAATCCTTTACTCAGGAGGAAGTCTGGGCTCCTTACAGCCTGCCACACAGAATACCCCGCGGTGCCTGGATCGGGAAGATGCTTCCAAACCGCCTTCGACATGCCAACTACAGACGCCAAGCCTGCGCCCCTTATGCCGCCAGCTGGAAGACATCCAGGGACTCTTATTGATCTGGTGCCCATCTCAACTTGGGGCCCTTTTTGTTCGGGGGTTTTGATTTCTCACCAAAGACCAACGTGGCAGGACCGATTTTTCTCCCGGGCTGCGGTTCCATCTCTGCCCACTGTAGAAATGCTAGTTTGGGCATCTCGGTTATATGGAACAATTTGGAATTACTGGTTTGGGAGTTTGAAGAGCCAACAATTTGGGATTTCTGATGTTGATGAAATGTTTGGGGTGGGGGTGGGAATCAGAATCTGATTTGGGAGCCGGCGAGGTTGTGACATCATGTGAGAGCAGGGAAAGGAGGCCACAGGGAAAGGTTAGGTCAGGAGTTTTCAAACTTGGCTCCTTTAAGAGCTGCGGACTTCAACTCCCAGAATTCCCCAGCCAACATGGGCAATTCTGGGAGTGGAAAGCCACACATCTTAAAGCAGGGGTCCCAAAACATGGCAGCTTTAAGACTTGTGGACTTCAACTCCCAGAATTCCCCAGCCAACATGGGCAATTCTGGGAGGGGAAAGCCACACATCTTAAAGCAGGGGTCCCAAAACATGGCAGCTTTAAGACTTGTGGACTTCAACTCCCAGAATTCTCCAGGCTGGAGAATTCTGGGAGTTGAAGTCCACAAGTCTTAAAGCTGCCAAGTTTGAAGACCTCTGTCTTAAAGTGTCCAAGTTTGAAAAAAAAAAAAACAATCCTAGAAATCAAGGGTGTCCACTCATGGCAACTTTTAAAGACTTGTGGACTTCCACTCCCAGAATTCCCCAGCCAGCATGTGGGCTCTGGGTGTGTGATTTGTGTACGTGCTGTTTTTAGTGTGTCCTTCCTTTGCAAATCTAACAAACCGAAGCTCATTGTGGAGAAAATTAAGGTTTTTACACTTAGGCAAGGAAAACCAACTCTGCAGGTACAGAGCAGGAGAAACCTCGCTTAAGGCCAGTAACTGTGAAAGGAGTCTTGGAGTCCTAGTGGACAATCACTTAAATAGGAGCCAGCGGGTGTCACAGCTGCCCAAAAAAAGCCCACACAATCCCACAATGCATCCCACAATGCATTAACACAGGGAGAGAATCAAAATCACGTAAAATGTTAATGCTGTTTTATAAAGCCTCACTAAGATCGCATTCTGGAATATTGCAACCAATTTACAATGTTAAAAAAAGGAGACTCTGGAAAGAGTGCAGAGAAGAGCAACGAAGAGGATTAGGGGACTGGAGGCTGAAACATAACGAAGAAAAATTGCAGGTGTTGGGTAGGTCTAGTAGTCCAACGAAGAGAAGGAATAGGGGTGACATGAGAGCAGGGTTCCAATATTAAGAGCCTTGGTGGCGCAGCAGACTAAAGCGCTGTTAAGTAGCACCAGCTGCCTGCAATTACTGCGAGTTCAATTCTCACCAGGCTCAAGGTTGACTCAGCCTGCCATCCTTTTGAGGTAGGTAAAATGAGGACCCGGATTGTGGGGGCAATAAGCTGACTTTGTATAAAAAAGAACACTGCTTTTGGGGGGGGGCGAAAGCCCTACTAAGCAGGTATATAGAAAAGTATGAAGGCTATTGCTTAACGCATTGTAAGCCACCCTGAGTCTCCGGGGAAGGGCGGCATATAAATCGAACCAATAAATAAATAAATAAATTTGAGGGGCTGCCTGAAAGAAGAGGGAGGGGGGGTCAACCTATTCTCCAAAGCACCTGAAGGTAGGACAAGAAAAGGGTGGAAACTTAACCAAAGAGAGAAGCAACTTGGAACTAAGGAGAAATTTCCTAACAGTGAGGACAATTAACCAGTGGAACAGCTCGCCACTAGAAGTTGTGGGTGCTCCATCACTGGAGGTTTTCAAGAAGAGATTGGACAACCCTTTATCTGGAATGGCATAGGTTTCCTGCTCAAGCAGGGGTTGGACTAGAAGACCTCCAAGGTCCCTTCCAATTCTGTTAAAGATTGAGGGGCTCCTGTCCTGGGCTTGGTTCCTGTGCGAAATTCAGAAAGGAAGATTGCCCTTGTAGATCCCGTCCTGGGGATTTATTGAGGGAATCTGGTGTCTTCCTTATCCTGAGGGGATTCCTATTCTTTGATCAAGTCCCTGAGATGCAATAGTGGGACCAGATCAAAGGCCTTTTAAACTTCCAACAAGGGGATGTTAGATTCCCGGGAGGACTTTCAAACCATTTTTTAAATCGGCTGGGAAATCTGCTAGATTTCTGACGCTCCTGGATCTCTGCTGCTCTGCGGTCCACGTCTTTCTAGCAGCTGAGATGATTCATGGACATTCAGGACGTCTTAAGTGAGGAAAATTAGATTGCGGAAATACAACAAATTGTTAACTTCAGAACATACTTGCCTACCGATCAAATGTACTTTCTGTTTAAGGCTGCCTTTGAAGCTCAGGTTTTTCCTCCCAAATCAGGCCACGCATCAGATTATCTTTTTTATATATCTATATATATAAATTTTTATTAGTTAAAAACTACAAACATACATACAACAATAAAACATACACAACAAATAAACATGAATCACGTCTTTACGATTTACTTTTCGAACTTGTCGCATCGATAAGACTATATTTGTGTTCATATCTATGTATCCATATATTTATGTATAAAATAATATATATATATTTATAATTTTTCTCTAATGTATCTTTTATATTTCTATTCCTAGTACATCCTCTCTTCTGATTTTTTTTAATCTACGTATTTAATGTACTATATTCCTTAATTAGTACTCTGTTTTTATTTATAGGTTTGTTCTCTCTTTTGTGTCCCTATTCTACTTTTCCTTTCCTTTTTCTCCAACCAGTTGTACCATTTCTGCCATACTAAATAATAAACTGTTTCTTCCTTTTCCTGTATTTCTTTTGTAAGTTTGTCCATTTCTGCATATATTCCATAATTTTGCTGATTATTTTATCTTCTGTTGGTGTATCCTCGTGCTTCCAATTATCTTGAGTTACAAGAATGAGGATGAACCTGGATGAGGTTGAATTGAAAATAGGGGGGAGGGAGGGAAATAAAAAAAGATCAAATCAGAAATGCGTGAAAAGCGCCTGCCTTTTTTCATTAAACGCGTTAGATAAAAATTTGTGTAACGGTAAGGAATCGTGTAATTGTCTGTTTTTTGCCATTCGGTGTTGTTAAGAAGGGGGTGGGCTGCAACTGGTTGTAACAACTGATTTGGCCGGAACGGGAAATGTGAGCGCACGCAACTTCGCGCATTCACACGGAAAAAACGGCAATTATATAGGACGTGATAGCGCCAGGGAAGGTGGGCAGGGCCAGCCCTGATTGGAACTACCGATTTGCCCAAATCGGTCCGAACCGGTGGAAGCCACCACTGACTTCAGCTGTTTCTCCAAGAGAGATAAAAATTTTTGGAAAAATTAAGATTTTCCCTCCCTTAAAAATTAAGAGAGTCAGGATATTGGTTAAGTCCTGGACTTAACAACCATTTGTGTACCGGAGACGAGTTTCCTTGTGTGTTTAATCACAATTGGGCAATAAAATATTTCTATTTATTTAGGGACCATTGGAAGTTACAATGGCACTGAAAAAAGTGATTTATGCCATTTTTCGCACGACCATTACAGCATCCCTGGGGTCACGTGATCAAAATCCAGACGCTCGGCCACTGACTCGTATTTATGACGGTTGCGGTGTCCCAGGGTCATGTGATCCTCTTTTGCGACCTTCTGATAAGCAAAGTTAAGCGGGGAAGCCGGATTCGCTTATCGGCCGTGTTCCTAACTTCACAAATGCAGTGTTAAATTCACTTAACAACTGTGGCCAGGAAGGTCTTAAAATGGGGCAAAACTCCACTTAATATTGTGAAGGTTATAAGTCGAGGACTAGCTGTATTTCAAGAGTTCAGCCTTGTCCTGTCACGCTCCCTGTACTTTTATTTATTTATAAAATTTATCATATTACATAATATATTATATTAGAGCAGTGTTTCTCAACCTTGGTAGCTTGAAGATGGGTGGACTTCAACTCCCAGAATCCCCCAGCCAGCAGCAAACGGCCTGTTTGCTGACTTCCGGTGGGACCGGAAGGGCGGTTATTTGCTCTCCCAAGGCTCCAGAGCCTCTCTAGGAGCCTGGGGAGGGCAAAAATGGCCTTTCCCCCCCTGGAGACCCTCCGGAGGCAGGAAACAGCATGTTTCCCTACTTTCAGTGGGCCCAGAAGGCCTGAAGGAGCTGAGCTCGCGTGCCCACTGATATGTCTCCGCATGCCACCTTTGGCACATGTGCCATAGATTCGCCATCACAGCCCTAGCTGGACTAGAACTCGTGTCTCCCAGTCTCTTGTCCAGCCCTTCACCGTTGCAGCAAATCAGCAGCTCTCGTGTGTGTGTGTGTGTGTGTGCCTGTGTGTCTGTGAACTGGACAAGGAGGTTTTGCAGGGTGCGTCCTTCTCCTGGAGGAGGCGATCTGTCCTTTTATTCTGCCCTAGCAGCTGGCGATTTCAGTGTTGGACAATAGGGGGAGCCACAGAAGACGGCAGGAGTGGGCCTTTTACATCTATCGGCCAGTAGGGGGCACGGCGGGTGCTCGCAAAAGTGAAATTTCCGGTAGGTGTGCGTTGCATTGGCACTTTTGCAGAAGTTGGAGGCAGCGTTCAAGGGGAAGATGATGGGATTGCGGACGGAGGAGCTCCCAATATCAATCCACCACACTGCAAAAAAGATGTGGAGACTCTGGAAAGAGTGCAGAGAAGAGCAACAAAGAGGATGAACGGTTGTCTGGAATTGGGTAGGTCTAGTCTGGTGAAAAGAAGGACTAGGGGAGACATGATAGCAGTCTTCCAAGATCTGAGGGGCTGCCCCAAAGAAGAGGAGGGGGTCCATCTGTTCTCCAAAACCCCTGAAGGGCAGGACAAGAAGCAATGGATGGAACGTGATCAAGGAGAGAAGCAACCTGGAATTAAGGAGGAATTTCCTAACGGTGAGGACAATTAACCAGTGGAACAGCTTGCCACCAGAAGTTGTGAGTGCTCCATCACTGGAGGCTTGTAAAGAAGAGACTGGACAACCACTTGTCTGAAATGGTATCGGGTCTCCCGCCAGAGCAGGGGGTTGGACTAGAAGACCTCGAAGGTCCCTTCCAACTTCTCTTCTCTTCTCTTCTCTTCTCTTCTCTTCTCTTCTCTTCTCTTCTCTTCTCTTCTCTTCTCTTCTTATCCCATCCCATCATCTTCTCTTCTCTTCTCTTCTCTTCTCTTCTCTTCTCTTCTCTTCTCTTCTCTTCTCTTCTCTTCTCTTCTCTTCTCTTCTCTTCTCTTCCCTTCTCTTCTCCTCTTCTCCTCTCCTCTCCTCTCCTCTCCTCCCTTCCCTTCCCTTATTTCTCTCCTCTCCTCTCCTCTCCTCTCCTCTCCTCTCCTCTCCTCTCCTCTCCTCCCTTTCCTTTCCTTCCCTTCCCTTATTTCTCTTCTCTTCTCTTCTCTTCTCTTCTCTCTTCTCTTCTCTTCTCTTCTCTTCTCTTCTCCTCTCCTCTCCTCTCCTCTCTCCTCTCCTCTCCTCTCCTCCCTTCCCTTCCCTTATTTCTATTCTATTCTATTCTATTCTATTCTATTCTATTCTATTCTATTCTATTCTATTCTATTCTATTCTATTCTATTCTATTCTATTCTACTCTACTCTACTCTACTCTACTCTACTCTACTCTACTCTACTCTACTCTACTCTACTCTACTCTACTCTACTCTACGATAAGATTGGATCTTTCCCAGCTGCTGAGATGCTGCAGACCGGGCTGGAAGGGGTTAAGACGACCCTGTCCTGGTTTAATTGACAGCTGGAACCACAGCTGTAGCCTTTTGGCACCTCGGAGGATGGGATGGGGGGGGATGGAAGTCTATAAAGGTCACCAGCTGTAGTTCCAGGGTGGGTGGGACGAAGAGGTGGAGCCTCTGTTGATGGACTTTCCTTCGCCGACTGGTTGCAGGTAGCTACAATAACTGCTTAAATCATAGTTTTAGATTTAAAATATATATATATATTTAGATTTCTCTATTCCTTGTCCCTCTTCCCTATTTTGGGACTTCTGTTATGGAACAAGGGGTTAGAGTAGATGATCTCTGAGGGGGTCTTCTATATCTTATGTCGTGCAGGTAGTCACAGTGGAGTCCAAACTTTCTGTTGCTGAGCCAGGTGATTGTTTGGGCTTTGCCCTGTTTTACGGCCACTTTCTTGTCGTTAAGTGAATCACAGTCCCGCGGTTGTTAAGCGAATCTGGCTTCCCCGTCTTCTTGGCTTGTCGGAAGGTTGCCAAATGGGATTGCCTGACACAGCCACCGTCATAAGTATGAGTCAGTGATCATATTTTGTTCATGTGACTGTCAGGATACTGCAATGGTCGTATGTATGAAAACTGGTCCTAAGTCACTTTTTTGAGTGGCGTTATAACTTTGAACGGTCACTAAACAAATGTTTGAAAATGGAGAGCTACTTGTATGTATTTTTTTTTGCTTGTGAGACTGATCTGGATGGTCCTCATTTAATGGGGTGGGGGCAGGGGTGAAATCTGAGATTTGTTACTACCAGTTCTGTGGGCGTGGCTTGTTGGGGGCGGGGTAATGTGACTGGGTGGGCGTGGCCAATTTTTTTTAAAAAAAACTTTTAAAACCATTTTTTTCTACAACCTTTTCGGCGGTTGTAAAAAAAAAAAAAAATGCTTTCAAAAGGCTCTGAGGATCCCAGCTGAGTTGCCTGATCGGCAGAGGCTTTTTTAAAAACTCAGCTGGGATCGTCAGAGGCATTTAAAAGAAAAAAACCCTTTTTTTCTTTTAAATGCCTCTGACGATCCCAGCTGAGTTGCCTGATCGGCAGAGGCTTTTTTTTTCTTTTAAATGCCTCTGACGATCAGGCAACTCAGCTGGGATCGTCAGAGGCATTTAAAAGAAAAAAAGGGTTTTTTTTTTCTTTTAAATGCCTCTGACGATCCCAGCTGAGCCGCGCGATCATCAGAGGCTTTTTTTTTTTTTACTTTTAAAAGCATTTTTTTCGGCCGAAGAGGTTGTAGAAAAAATGCTTTTAAAAGTAAAAAAAAAAAAAAAGCCTCTGATGATTGCACGGCTCAGCTGGGCATGGGGGGGGGCAGGGATTTTTGCTACCAGTTCTCCGAACCACCCACCTCCATCGCTACTGGATCAGGCGATCCGGTCGGAACCGGGAGCATTTTACCCCTGGGTGGGGCGGGGGTTCGCCTAAAGCTCCTATCCCAGCACCTTAAAAGTTACAAGTGTGTCCTTGACTTACAACCGTTCGTTCAGTGACCGTCCAAAGGTACACCCGCCACAGGGGAAAAAGCAACTTATAGCCATTTTTTCACACTTACGACCTTTGCAGCCTCCCCGCGGTCATGTGACTTTGGTTGGGATGCTTGACAACTGGTTCATATTTATGACGGTCACAGTATCCTGGGGTGACCTCCTTTTGCGACCAAGTGAAGTCAATGGGGAAGCCAGATTTGCTTAACGATGGTGTGATTGACTTAAACAATGGCGGTGAGTCACTTAACAAATGTGGCAAGGAAAGCCTCCTGAACTAATTTCTCACTCGGCAACTGAAATTCCAGGCTAAATTGTGGTCGTAAGTTGAGACCTACCTGCAATGAAACAACGGAATAAGAGAGTTGGAAGGGACCTTGGAGGTCTTCTAGTCCAACCCCCTGCTTAGGCAGGAAACCCTACACCACTTCAGACAACTGGTTGTCCAATCTCTTCTTAAAAACTTCCAGTGTTGGAGAATTCACAACTTCTGGAGGCAAGTTGTTCCACTGGTTAATTTTCAAGGAAATTTCTCCTTAGTTCTAAGTTGCTTCTCTCCTTGATTAGTTTCCATCCGTTGCTTCTTGTCCTGCCCTCAGATGCTTTGGAGAATAGCTTGACTCCCTCTTCTCTGGGGCAGCCCTTGAGATATTGGACTGCTGTCATGTCACCCCTAGTCCTTCTTTTCACCAGACTAGACATACCCAATTCCTCCATGGATGGAATTTAGTCAAGGAGAGGAGCAACCTAGAACTAAGGAGAAATATCCTGACCATAAGGACAGTTAATCAGTGGAACAGCTTGCCACCAGAAGTTGTGAATGCTCCCAACA